GAAATCCAAAATAAGTAAATTATAGACAGCAACTAGATTAATAATTGCCTATGGGAATGGAAGGAAGCTAACGTATGAGAACATTTTGACGCTGATTGTGACCGCTCAACTCTTCACTGAATTGAATGTTATGTGTGGTGGTGGTGGTTGGTGAGGCTCTCGGTGAGCTCCTTGCTCATCAACAAGGCAGTACCTCCGTCCCTATACTTTCCTGGCCTCATGTGTGCCACTCACCCATCCCTGCTCACATCACAACCACCCTGATCTTACTGTGAAAGCTGGCTGTGGTCAGACTTCTTTGTTCCCTCAGGGTGCTGTTTCCTTGAGGCCTCTCCCACCAAGGGAACCGACCCAGGGCTCCTCTCTTCTTAAGCAAGTCTCGTCTCCTACTGAAGCAACATCTTACTTTCTTTAATCTGCACCTCACCTAGATTTTGTATCTCACTGGTTTGTCCGGCTCATCCTGTATAGAGGGAGGTTTTTGTTTTGAATACTTTTATTTCTGTTGGCAATATAACAACCATACACAATTTCTAAATGAACTCTTATTGGTTATACTTCATACTGTCGCCATTTATTCTCTGTCCTTTAAAAGTTCTCAGTGTGTTAGAGGAACTGCTGTCAGTTTATTCTGTTTTCAAAAAATGTGTGAATTGAGTGAAGGTTTAGAACAGATACATTTTCCACTCAATTCATAGTGTGTCATCTCATTGCTATAATCCCAACATAGCACCACTTGGCTCGTTTCCTGTCCCCATTCTGCCTCTCCTAACTCTCGTGAACTTGGCCCTTGGGTAAATGCTGCCCTTTTGATCTCAAATGGTTTATTATTTAATGAGGGCTTACTTCACTAGTGTTATTGTGCGTCTTTGAGCCAAGGGTGAGTTCATTCGCAGACATGGAGATTCAGGGAGGGGTTCTTAATTCTTAACTGCTGTTAACGTCTGCTTTCATATCAGTGACACATCGCTGGACCTCAGTTATCTATTTCTTTAATAAATGAACCACATATTATTTTACTCAGGGACTCCTATATAGTAGACAGGAAAATCTGGGAGAAAGAAGACTTATCCTCTCGTTCTTGCTCTTTAAATGACTATCCTTAATGCTTTCATTACATTAATATACTCCTAATTTCATTTTCAACTCCTTCAATCAGAGCATTGTGATCTGTTATCATGATCACACCCAGGTTCTGTATTATGGCATTTATCATTAGAATGGTACAATGCCTAACACTTTCTAGTTTTGTTCTCATTTACCTAAAAAAATGCTTCAGATGGACTAGGGAAAGTGCCAAAGCACTAGTGCTGGGCCATCGCATATAAGCTATGGTGCATGTTTTCCAGGCGCATATAAGCTATGGTGCATGTTTTCCAGGCACATAGTTCGCACTCCCTGGCTGCCCTCTGCTCCTTCCCTTGTTCCCCAGAGGCGATCCCAAGGCCCTGCAGCTGGGACTCTTTACCTTTGCTCGCAGGCAGCGATAAGTTACAGTGACCCAGGAGGACAGTGATTCAGTTAAGGAATACAAACTGAACAGAAAAACCACTGTGCCCGAGCTTGAGAATTTCTGATAGAAGACCATTCAGTAGAATTCTTACAGCTTTATTTTCAGTATTAAACTGTACATGCACCATGGGGACGAGTGGCAGTGACATTACGTACATACGTGCCTCATTCTGTTTCCGTTTTCCACATTCCTACAGTTCTTCGTTCACACCACTGGGGTCAAATGGAGGAGACTGGGAGGGCTGGAAGAGGCTGCTCCTGGCTGGAGGTGAGCACCCAGGTCCTATCAGTGCGCCACCCAGAAGACTGAGATCATTGGGTCAATATTAAAAACTCACACAATTATGTGACCTAATGTTTTCTCTTGAGAGTCGCTGGCTGAGTTTACACCTTCCTCAAACTTGATACAGTAAAGAGTTTAAGTAATAGTTCTGGGCCTCTGGATTAAACACAAATATGCATTTCTGTTCTGAAGTTCAGAGTAAGCTTCTAATCCAGGTGAACTATTTTGATCTCTCTAGCTTACCAATAAAACCTTTTAACTAAAAATTTAAATTCTAGGGAAATGATAAGTAGTCCCTGACTTCTATGGGTGTACTGGATGTGCCTGTCTTAGTTATCCAGTGCTACTGGAGCACAAACACAGTGGGTGGCTCTAACAAATTAATTTTCTCAGTCTAAAGAGCAGGGAGCCAGCTCTCAGGGAAGGCTTGCTCTGTGTCTGCCTTAGAAGCAGGTCCTTGTCTCTTGAGCTTCTGCTCCTGGGTGATCTTCAGGGGGCTTGCTACTTCTCTTCCCCCAAGTCTACTTTCTCACTTGCTTGTTAAATCTCAGATCTAAAAAGATTCTGATTCAAGACATACCCCACACTTACTCTGCCTCATTACCATAACAAAAGCAAATGATTCCTAAACTCAATGATAATCACAGGTTTAGCTGGGATTTACAACACATGTTTTATTGGGGTACTAACAGTAGCTGTGTACTAAAATAAAATACATATTTATGCTGACATGTAATATTCCCAACCCTCAAAGACAAAGATTAGATTTTTGATAATAAGTGAAAGTTTAAAAAAAATGTAGTTTTATACATATGTTAAAATATCAAGAAATGCAGAAATCAATAAAGCACTATTATTCTGGGAAATAAGTATTCCTAAAATTTTATTTCAAACCCTTTATAAACCAAACTCACTACCACAGAGTCAATTCTAACTCAGTGACCCTACAAGACAGGATAGAACTGCTCCTGTGGATTTCTGAGACTGTAACTCATTATGAGTAGAAAACCTCATCTTTCTCTCAAATACCTTTACCGATTACTAAAAATGCAGCCTCAAGTTGGCAAAATATATTTTCTAGAGTATTATGATGAAGGGATGATAAGCTCTCCAGGTTAGCGTTATCACACTGCCATACCAGATAACGCTATGCACAAGTAAAGGCCACGCAAAATCCTATTTAGAGATTAAGTGGTGCTGGGCACGAACAAGCCTAAGTAGAAACTGAATAGGACAAGAAGTGCTGAATATTAAATGAACTCATGTAGCATAAAACAAGTAACATACATGTAACTGTTACTTTAAAACATTACTTAAGAATTACTGCATTGCATCAAACGTTGCCTGTTTAGTAAATGTAAAAACGGTTATCAAGAACAAACAAAACTGCCAGTGCTATTCTAAGTTACTTTTATTGTCATAAATAACTCTTTATACAAACACTTCCAGCAGATGTAAATGTCAGCTGTCACCTGGTTTAACCTAAGTATTAAATGTAGGTAATAGTTAACACTGATAGTTACATCTCCATGTAACCTTCATGCAGCTTCTTTACATTTATTAAGACTTCAAAAATTCTGATACCTTGTCAGAGAGAATCTATATAACAGGATATTTTGGTCTCATGGTGCCACTTCTGCCAAGTAAAGTGTATTATCATTTGCCCCTGTCAATGCTGTCAGCCAAGGATTTAAAATAATACCAATGTTTACTGCATTTTACAGAAGCACAAAACATGTTTGCATTTCCTCTATGGTAACTGTGATCCAAAAACATGCCAACGTGCAAACTCAGCATCTAGGTTGGTAAACACTAGTACCAAGACACACAAGTCTTCCAGGCAGTTACATGCTGGTTGGTATCAACTACTGTTTTTAAGTGGCACACAGACATATAGTTTGTAATAAGGGTCACATAAAAATAGTTCTTTTCATAGAGAAAGTCAAGGCAAATTAGCTGTCGTTATTATTTCATCTATTCTAGAAACTGCAGCTTCAGAGATCACACACTATGCTCCTAGGAGTAATTCACATTTCCATACATTAAATCTGAAAACCCTACTGACTCTATGTTTCCCTTTTAAAGGATTGTGGTGAATTATTACATGGTTCAAGGAAATGTTTATTTGAACACAGTATTGACTCATAATCTATAGTGTGAGGTGCACCTTCTTGTCTGAACACTTCACAGATTTTTGTTAGACAGCAGGACTTATTTCTCATAGGCTTGTTATTTGGAGTCAATGGTCTATCTATTAAGTGCTCAGTATATTGTCTGGCACACGGTAAGCGCTGATGGATATACACTATTAATATTATTTTCATTACCCGAGTAAAACTGTCACTTATAATAGGAAAACTGGCTACAATAGAAGCTATGCCCACAGATGTGACTGTTGGGGCGGGGGCACGAGGCAGCCCCTCCTTCTCAATTGTGCACATATATTAAACTAACTGCTTCAAACATTACAATCTACTTTACGATCATGTTATATCTGTTTGTTTCCTGAAGCTTTTCCTATGGCCTTTAGCCTAAAGCAATATGATTCTGACATGACAGCTATTATTACATGGCAATGAAGGCATTTTATAACAGCTTAACAAAGCAGAAGAGTTATCGGTGTTACTCAGGACAACCTACCTTAATTTTTTTCTTTACATCATGCAGTACATCACATCTTCAAAAAACATTTTCATCCTATCTTCTCTCATATAGAAACAGTAAGAGCTATTACAAAGTTCTATCCTCTAAGTAAAAAACCCACTAGAAAAGGTACTTGTAAAAACCATTGTAGGTTTATTGAGACTAAAAGGATGCACAGGGCCAACAGAAGGGAATTAAGTTCTTAAATGGTCTTAATACACTCGTATTAACACTGACTGGAATAAAGTGTGTGTTCTAATATATGCAAGGGATTTAGTATGATCTTAACTTTGTGAACCCCCACCCCCACCACAAATACATGATTCAGAACTTCTTAAATTTGACATAATGAACACAATTTCAATCGCTGCCATTGTATCTACCGTATAGGGCAGGGTACAACTGGCCACATGGATTTCTGAGACTGTAAATCTTTAGTTAGAGTAGAAAGCCTCATCTTTCTCCCAAGGAGCGACTGGTCGTTTCAAAGTGCTGACCTTGTAGTGTGCTTAGCAGCCGATGTGTAACCTACTATGCCACCAAGAAAAAAATACTCTTTTTAAAAACTGATTCCTGTCATTTTTCTGGTGTCAAATAAGGGAAACTTTTTTTAAAGGTAGAAAAATATATCTGAAATCACACGATTCTGATCCTTAATATATTAACCTGAAACTGCTCAGACTTCAAAAAATGATCCAACCTCCCTGAATATATTCTTTAGAGGCACAGTAAAATCTTTCCAGTGTTGTCCTGATTAAAAAGGAGAGTCTGGAAACTAAGTAGGAAATATCTCCACTGTATTAAAGATAAAGAACAGAGAAACTGAAGGCATATTCTCTCTGAATGTGATGAGCTGGCCTACAACCTTCAGAGAAATTTCAAAGAAACGTGAAAGAAAAGCTCCACTGTTAATCTTATCTGCTAGTAGAGAGATTCAAAGTGCACAATGTGTCAGCAAATGTTAGGAAACAGAGCACCCAGTGTCCTTCTGAGGTTTGATATCTGGTTCTTTCACAGGTTTTACTTCTTCTTCTGCTTTAGGCTTGGTCTAAGGAGAAAGAAAAATACAGGGTAAGTAAGTATACGCTACAAGATAGAAGATAAACACTAGATCTTTACACTTCAGATATTTTAGCAATACTGTACTGGAGCAGTGGTTACAAGTTGTGCTATGATCAGCATCCTCAGCAGTTTGAAACCACCAGCAGCTCCCTAGGAGAGAGGTGAGGCACTTTCTTCCTCTATAAACAGTTTCAGCAACCCACATAGGGATCACTGTAAGTCGGCACCAACTCGGAAGGCCGTGAACTTGGTGGGGTTTTGGGTACTAGATTCCATAGGAGCCCTGAGGGCACATTGGTTATGCATCAGTCTGCTAACTGCAAACTCAGCAGTTTGAAATCACCAGACACTCTGCAAAGAGTTACAGTCTTAAAAATATGCACAGGGGCAGTTCTACCCTGTCCTATGAGTCAGCATCAACTTGATGGCAGAGAGTTTTGGAATATTAAACTGCACAACAGTGAGATTAACAAAGCTGTTCTATAGCCTACGTATCAATTCAATTTAAGACGAAACCATAAAGTAACATTCCAGTGAAGTCTGACATTTGGAAATAACTATAATTGTATAAGGCTATTCCTTAAGTTTATTAGGGTTGAACAGGATAAAATATAGTTATTTTACAAAATAGTAGTTTTTGTTTGGGAAGGGCATTATATAAAAACAATCTCATTTCAAGGAAGAAGCTAGGCTGCAAAATAGTAAGATCGTTCTCATTTCTTGTCACAGATTTTAAGTTTTTGGGTAATTAGCCCTTAAAATTTCCACTTAATCTACCATTTGCTTTAGATGATATGTGTTTGATTTAGATGATATGTCACTTGAATATACATGAATAAAAGCAGTCAGATTTTACCCCTGATAATTTCATGGACTATGGAAATTAGGTCACACCGTCAAAATCTCTGCTAAGGTACAAACAGTATTGTCCCAGCAATATACACATGATGAGCCATTCCTTTCAGGCCTGTTCTTTGGAACTCTTTTTGAAGATGTGAACGGGAAGGTATGTTGAAGATACTATCAGCCAATTACATAGAAAACGAAATAACTCTAAGCAAGTTCTATGTTAGATTATTCTAGGTCCTATAGTTAACTAATTTAACATTCAAACAAACATTTCAGTCTACCAAAACAGAGCAAAATGTCAAACAGTCAACTGGAATCCTCTGCTTAAGTTTTTGTGAGTGGAAGAACAATACTCAAATCTCATACACTGTCATCCTTGGGTCTCTTGGTGAGGTCAAACGCAGCCAATGTTTCTGATGTCCACTGAGCACTCGTAGGAGGAAAGTCGAAAGGTACAGGCTCCACAAGGCCATAATTTGCTTTGAGTTCCAGTTGTGGGGCTTCGGTTGGAATTTTTTGGAAGTAACTGAAAAAGGAAATTTAAGTAATAATTTCATCCATCTATTTGATAACTATTTGAGTGCTTATATTCAAGGATCTGAGTGAGACAATGAAAAATAAGACATGCCATTTCCCTGCTTCATGTATCTTACAGATAAGTGAGACAGTCATGAGATGAACACGGGAATGCAAATGAGTTAGATGTACTTAACGTCCAGAGAAAGAATGGCAAGGGAACAAAGGTTTTTTTTTGTTAAAAAGGGTCCAATCAAAACAATGACTTTGGAGGGGATCTGCTGGGCCAGTTACAATCAAGGCAGAGGTCAGCTCAGAACGGTATGCGACAGTTGACTGAGATTCCAAAGGGGTCATCATGATTTTCTTCAAGGGAATAGGATGACAAAGAGGCTTATTGGGAATACATTTTACCAAAGTTCTGCCCAAGAATTAAAATTTTTTTTTTCAATTATGACAATGCACATGCTCATTCTTTGAGGGTGTCCTAACAACATTTTATTAGGAAATTTTACTACATCCACCCTCCAGTCCAGTTCTTGCCCCATTCAGACTTCTTTTATTTCCCAAATCAGAACACATTAAAAAGAACATTGAGTTAAAAAAAGGCCATTTAGTAGAGAAGCAACAAGTCAGGTCACAGGCACCAGAAGACCAAAAACAAAACAAAACAAAGCAAAGCAAAAAACCCCCCAAAAACTGTTGAGAATGAGGAGAGTCAGAGCAGAGACCCAAAGCTCATCTGCAGACAATAGGACATCTCCCTCACAGAAGGGTCACTAGGAAGGGAAGTCAACCAGGATGCAGTGTAGCACCAATGAAACACACAATTTTCCTCTGGTTCTTTAAGGCTTCCTCACCCCTCGCTATCATGACCCCAGTCCTGCCTTTCAGTTCTGGTTAGAACAGAACATGAACACTAGAACAGATAACAGCTCACGACACATGGAATCCAGGTCAGGTAAATCCCTCAAGAACAGGAATGGGAGTAGCAACACCAGGAGGGGAGGGGGAAGGTGAGGGAGGAAGAGGGAAGCGATCTCAATTATTGATGCATAGGATCCCCCTGGGGGATAAATAACAGAAACTGTGGGGGAAGGGAGACAGCGGTTGGTGCAAGATAGGAAAATAATAATTTATAATTTATCAAGGTGGGGAGGGAGGGAAAAAAGAGGAGCCGATATCAGGACTCAAATAGAAAGTAAATATTTAGAAAATGATAATGCTAACAAATGTACAAATATGCTTGATACAATTGATGTATGGATTGTATAATAGCTGTAAGAGCCCCCAATAAAATGATTAAAAATAAATAAATAAAATGCAAAATATAAAAATAAAAGAACACTGAAACATCATCATCAACAACAACACAATTTGAGTCCCTTGAGGATGCCCACACTGCTGTTTGGACAGAGTAAATCAAAGAGCACGGGACTATATGGGGAAGGGTTAGAGAAATAAAAACACAATCTTCAGAAGTGTATGCACCTACATGGAGAATCAACATTTAGATGTTTTTCTTTATATATACTCACCCCCACCCCCCCAACACCAGTAACCACACTCCTCTTCCTTCTTGGGTTCCTCGTTTCCATTTATCCTTCTTTCCTGCTCCTTTTTGCCATCTGAGCTTTGTCCCTGGACAAATGCTACCTTTTAGTCTCATACAGTTATTTTGAGAAACTCATTCCTTTTAAGTGTAGTGTTCCTTTTGTAGGCCTGTTTAGCTACAGAAGGTGAACCCAGGGTGGGTTCGGTGCCCAGTTTGAAGGGTGTTTGAGGCCAGTCTTGGGGAATCTACGAGACCAGACTTTATCAGACCAGTTAAGTCTGGTCCTTTAGAAGAGTCTGAATTTTGTTCTGCATTTCCCCCACATTCTGTAGAGAACCTTGTCTAGTCCTGAACAGAGTGCTTGGCAGTGGGCATGATCTTCTGGGTCTATTAGTCCTTGCTCGAATTTTTAATTTTTTCTTTCTTCTAGACAGGAAGAGAACACTAGTCCCATTCTGTATGGCCACCTGATAGTTTGTAACACCCCGTTGCTTACACATCACAATAGCATGTAAACACTGGTCTCTGAGCTATGCTACACCTATGACTTAGCTGTCCCTGAGACAGCCAGAAACCCAGCGACTCATTCCCTCAAGCTGGTTAGGGCTAAAAAGTTCTCAGAATGTTGCCTCTATACATATGGAGATATTTACAGGACATACAAACATACAGGTAGATACACTCCTACCAACCTATGAAGGGACTTCAAAAAGGCTGCTGGAAAAGCAGAATTAGAAGATAGTGCCCCCTCAAGAGACTGCTGTGCATGCAGCCCTGTTCACCTTGTCCCATCGATTTAGCTTGCAGGCCTGCCTACATATCCATTGGTAGATTATTGTTAATTATTATGGAAATTACAGTGTTGGTTCCAAAAGAGAAAACCAAACTTACTGCCAATTGAGTCAATGCCAACTCTTGGTGACCCTTCAGGACAGAGGAAAACTGGCCCTGTAGGTTTCTGAGACTGGAAGTCTTCACGAGAGTAGAAAGCCTTCTTTCTCCCAGAGTGACTGGTGGTTTCAACTGCGGAGCAATCCACTTCATAACCACTGTGTCTCCAAATGCCCATAGGGCCGAGTATGTAACCGTGCTTACTTTGTTGTCTGTTACTCTTCGGTTCCTCCTTTTGGTTTCGTGATCTTGTACTGATCACCTGTCTGTTGTACACTGCCTTTCTCTTCATCCATATTACCATGTGTCCACTATCCAGTGAAGGAGCCCTGGTGGCACAGTGGTTATGTGTTGGGTTGCAAACCACAAGATCAGTAGTTTGAAACCACCAGGCACTCCATGGGAGACATAAGGCTTTCTACTTCCGTACAGTCAGTCTGGGAAACTTCCAGGGGCATTTCTACCTTGTCCTTTGGGGTTGCTATGAGTCAGCATCAGCTTGATGGATGGCGGTGAGTTTTGGGTATTACCCAGTTAGTAATATCCCCTACCGCCCCTCCCTGGGAGCCCTCCCGTGTGTAAATATTTCCTTGACTTTATATAATTAGGAGAGAAAATGAATGCTCTCGTAAGTGTAATTTAACATAAAGTGTTAAGAATAGCTAGCAAATAACAGAAAACACGGTTATGTAAGATATACAAAAGCTGTACTCACATAAATCCATTTTCCCTTTGGCACTTTTCTAGGGTATTCTTCACCAGACTGCCAAGTTTCCTAAAGAACAGGTGTGCAGAAGGCTTGACTGTTGGCCCAGGGCCTTTGGTCTCACCATACTCTTTGCATAAAGTTTCGGCCTTTGCATAGACTACAGGTGTAATGGACACAGAACACAAAGTTGTGTGGGTTTATTTATTGATATTAAAAAGCTTTAAATAAAAAATGGTTTGCCTCTTTGAAAACAAAAAACCCAGATCCCTTATTCCTCAACCCAAACATTGGACTGAGTGGCTAAAAAAGAGAGAAGTAAAACCAAAATGGATTTGGAATCTTTAGTGACAAACAAGTTCATTTCAAACAAACAAACAAACAAACAAAAAAGTCTAAAAATTGTACTGCTCTTCACTTAGTAGTGTCAATACCAAGAACGATATAAATAAAACTTGTGTATTTTCTGTAGCTCTTACATTTCCAGAGATTTCTCTAATTATCTCACCCAATTCCCATTTTCTTTCATCAAGTCAGCCCAAATCTCTTTTAACCTCCCATTCCCCTTCATGATTAGGCATTTGTTTTCCCAAAGGGAGTTAATTTTTTAGCAGAAATACTTACATTTTTCTGCTTCTTGGAGAGACCTGATTGCTTCACCACACTTATCACTAGCCAACAAAGTCTGACCATGATAACAGTAAGCCTGGTAACAGAAACAATTTTTTTCCTAAATGAGTTTTTCCACTCTCATTGTTTTAAATACACATCAGATGAATAAGTGCTTTGTCTATTGTTTAAAAGTATAAATGCAATCTTTTATATCTCCTAAGCAAGCTTTATCCAATCTCTGCTCACTGGGACTATATAAAAGGTGGAATCACATCAAGCCTTGAGTCAAACTAACCTCCTAACCAGTCAGAGAGAAAGAGTATTTACTGAAATCCTGTTTTCAAAACAGAATACGGCGAGGGGTGGGGGGCAGGGCGGGGAGGGCAGTACTGTGCTGAGACACAGAGAAAGCTACAGGCAAGGCTCTACAGTGAAGAACTGAAGAGGTGTCCAAGAGACATGTGTAGCCACTGGTAATAAGGCATCGACTGGATTGCATCTGAGACGGACACCTGTTAGCTTCTAAGACCCCTATTGCTTACTTGAGCTATGTTAGGCCGAATGACTTAAGTGTCCCCGAGACAAAGTCCAGCGATTCATTCCTTCAGTGTTTGGCTACGGCTAAGGGGTTTCAAACTGTGACCTGTTTGCTCTACTATATAGTTGCTTTTATTTACAACACGTACAATAATCCCAAACATACAAATCTTTAGTCTTGGTGGCATGTGGGTTTAAAAGTTGAGCAACTAACTACAAGGGCAGAAGTCTGCAATCATCGCTGCTACTCAGGAGAAAGCAGTTTTCTAATCCCATAAAGAGTTAATCTTGGAAACCACTAGGGGTAGCTCTCCTCTGTCCTATACAGTGATTGATGGCAGTGAGTCAGTGATTGATGACCGTGGTTATAATCTCACTCATGAATGGATTGTCTGTTATGTTAACGAGGGAGGGATAACACAATTTGTGTCCCTTTATATTATTTGAAAAAGATGGACTTAAAAATAAAGTGTGTAAAATTTTTAAAAAATGAAAGAAAGGAAAATTTGGCAAGTTTGGCTAACAATATGTGTTCTAGAATGTTCACCAAGGATGTGGCTACACAATCTTAAGATTGTGACTAATCAAGCTAATCAGCTACCAGCAAAAGAAGCATCAGCTTAAGACTGAAGGGAACAGAGAAAGACAAAAGGGAAGACTAAGAATACTACGACTTGAAATTCTTGATGCAGAAATCAGTATAATGCGGTCCTCTAGGAAAAGAATACGCTCACCACTGAAGTCACTTAAAGAACACAACTGTTCACGGGAACAAAGGAAACATAGCATTCTCGGCATCAAAGGGTAGGGTCACAGCTTTCCAGGGATCAAAGTGTTGGATTGTTGTCAATGCTGTTCTAGAGTGTGGGGCTGTTGTCAAGGTAAGCTAGGGGATGGGGCAACTGCCCAAGGCTGAAGGGGTGGGCATGGCATGAAAATCAGGAAAATCGGGCTGCCCAAAGCCGAGGGAGCAGAGTTGTTGTGCCATGGGCCTGATGCGTGTAACAGAAGCCACCCAGAGCCTAGAAGCTAGGCCTGCTGCTCAGATGGTTCTATCGAACAGAGAACTGTTTTCAAGCCTTGAGAACTAATAGATAGAGTTCTACTGGATTTTGGACTTGACTGGCGCCCGTTATCCCTTCTTTTCCTCCATTTCTTCCCATTTGTAATGGGAAAGTCTATTTTGTGCCTGTTTTATCATTGTACTTTGGCAACATACAGACAGTATTCTAGATTTCACAGAATGAAGTAGAATTTTACCCAGGATAGATTACTGGTAAAGTTTTTACTTCTATGATTCAGATGATGAGACTTTGGGCTTGGGAATCAATGTAAAACTTAAGGGATTATGGAATGGAATGATTGTGTTCTGTGTGTAGGAAAGACATAAACTGTCAGGGGCCAAAGAATGGAATGTTACTGACTGAATTATGTACCCCTAAAATATATAACCTCTATGCCTGTAGTTACAGTCTCAATTGTAAACAGATGGTCCTTGTTATTTTAATGATGCAGGATTAATATAAGACGTCAGAGAGACTGAATAAGTGGGCACAGGAGAGCTGAAGTAAGATAGATGCCAAGCTACATAGAGATCGTCACAGAACCAGGAAGCAGAGGCTAAAGAGGTGAAGGCCTTCTGAATGCAGACTTGTAGCCTCCTGAACTGTGAAGACTTACTTGTTTGTCAAAGCCTCCACTGGTGGTAGTTCTGTAAGGCACTACTATACAGCCAAGACATGCACACTACGTGTCTCTCATAGGTTCGCCCACTTACTTGGCCTACTGCTCTTTCAGAAAAATTCCTCAGTGACTCCCTGGCAATTAAATTTTTTTTTTTTTTTCTTTCACTATAGCCCATGATCCAGGAAAAAGTATAGGTATCTGCTTTCGCAGCCCAATGACTGTTCCACCACTATTGCCCCAGGGGGCAGTTATTACTCACTTTGGGAAACACTGGTCTACATCACGGCAGGAGTTACACATACTCTTGTATAGTATGCTTGGAAACAGATAGCAAAACGTAAGAGATAAGATTATCTACTCAGATCTGAAAAATGCTTTTTACTACCTCATATGCTATTCTAACTGAGAACACACTAAGTGTGTCTGTTGAGTATTAGACCAAGCTCTCTGCCGTCAAGTCAATCATGACTCACATCAACCTATAGGACACGGTAGAACTGCCCCTCCTGTGCGTTTCTGAGGCTGTAAGCTTTTCCAGGAGTAGAAAGTATCTCTTTCTCCCATGGAGTAGCTGGTCGTTTCAAACAGCCCACCTTGTGGATCGCAGCCCAATGCATAACTACTGAACCACCAAACTGGTAACTTCTGAAAATTGGAAGTTAATTCCAAAAGTTATTTGACAGGTTTTTCCAAACCCAGGCGATATACACAGCATGATATGCCTTGTGATAAAACCCAGTAGATATCTTTGTAAATGTATAGATGAACTGTATATGAAATGAGAGGACTCATATAAAGCATGCCAAAATGTCCAAGTTAAATAGCAATTCCATTGCTGTAATCCAACTTTACAATTCTACAACAGCTTCTCTTTCCACCCAGTTTCGTTCACCAAGGTGGTATTGCCAGTGAATATTACTGAGAACTGTCCATTATGATGAAATGCTAATGAAGAGGCAGGTGAGGTGAGATGTGAGACCTAGCACTCCAAGGGCTGGCTGGAAAAACAATAATTAACAAGGTTGTCAGAGTGACAAATACTTACATAAGCCATGTAGAAGCACATTTTTAAGTGAAGATATTTTCTCCATTTTGCACAGTATGCAGGATCCAAACTGGATAAAGTATGATCTAAAGTTACATTTTAAAAAGCAAAATATAATTTCACCCTGATTCACTAGATTCTTTAGTTCACATGTTTTGATGGTTAAAGTAGAATGCGATTTAAACCCAAACTCAAGTAGTTATAAAATCCAAAGAAAAACACCCCATTTTATTTAAAGTAATTTTCTCATAACTACGCTTTAAGCTACATGTTAAGATTGTTTGAATGTCATAGCACTCTTTGATTCGTGGGTTAAAGTAGCTTATGCTTCAGATTATGACAAAAATATGTCTACAAACTTCAAAGGAAATGAGTTCATTACTATTTTCTATTTTAAAACATTTTTTTTAACAATTCAGCAATGTAAAAAGTAGCCCATCCACCTAAGCCAGAGACTCCTAATTCTCATTCATTACCTTGATCATTGACTCTTGTATAGAACACGTGATTCTCCCTCCTACCCAGCATTTGCCAAACATCTCTCAAATCTATCTCCTCTTCTCTACTCCCTACTTCGTATCTTTGTCAAAGCTTTGATCATTTCTTCCTTAAACTGTAACAATTTCCTCCTAAGCAGGGCCACTCCTTCACCCTAGCCCATCTACCGAATACAGATCAAATTCCAAGTTTCAGCTAAGTGCAGCCACCTGAAGTCCCAGAATGTGTTACGTCCTTTCTCATCTTGTACACACTACATGTTCCACTAGACTCCAAAGCTTCCTAGTAAACTTATACTTTCTATTTCAAAATAAGGCTGAAATGCCATCGTCCTGCAGTTTTCTAGGTCATTTCACTGCTCATCATCATCTCACTTGATACTATAATAATGGGGTTACATGTTTGTTTCTTCTCTAGACTCTCAATTTGCTCTATTTATCTGTGTATACCCAGCAATAACACAGTAACCATCCCATAAACGGAAACTTCTGTTTCCTACAGGACTGAGTTAAAAGACAAATGGACTAATCAGAAGAACTGAGTTCTAGTTCTAGCATCTCTCCTGCTTGCGGCAAATGTATGGGTTAGTCATGGTAACTCTTGATTCCAGTTTCTGGCCTAAATAAAACTACACAGACTAGGAAACAACATTGTTAGATCACGAAAACTCCAAACTCACTGCTGCGGGGTTGACTTGACTCACAGTATCCTTATTCATTACAGAAACCAGAAAAGTTAAAAGGGGCCTCTATAATTATTAGCTATAATTGGCTAAAAAGAATAGCATTATTCTTTCCATTTGAACAGTTTTAAAACATACTAATTCTGAAAAGTTTAATTTTAAAAAAAAAACAAGATTCATAAAGCATATATTCTAATTTTGAAAATGAACAATCAGAATAATTTTGTTTTGCTTAATTAGACTACAGCTGATAAAAATCTTAAAAATCTAAAGACTATTAATTCCAATAACAGAATTATAAGCTTACCAGCTTTTTGATAGAAATTGGCTGTTTCGTATGCCAGGGCAGCAACTAGTCCTGGGGCATGTTTTAGCTCAATTGCTCGAGCAATTGTGACTGTAACCAAAACATAACAAAGTGAACCTAGTGATACAGTCATTTGCATTCACCTTACATTCAATAAACTAGTAAAATAAAATCTGTCTTAAAATTGGCATTTAAAGCTACATTTTTCACATGAAAAATATAAACAAACAAGAAACAGAGTTGGTTGATTCTGATGCCATTTCTTTTTGAACTAAAGAAAAAGAAATGCCTACAATGTTTCTGTAATAAAATTCCTATAGCCTGCCACCAAAGAGCAATATTGTCCAGGTAAACAAAGTAATGACACTTTGAATACATTTCTTAGTACAGATCTTTGAGTCTAAGAACATGAACTTGACGAACACAGATTAACACTAACCCATCTAGTCCTATCATGTCTCCATTATCAATGCTGTTTGAATTAAGAAATCCTGTCCAAGGCGTACATTAATCCATGTGTGAAGAAAGCAGAAGTAAAAGAATGAGCAAGGCAGAGGGTAAAAGATGAGTTAAAGAATTCATTTTATGGGCCAGGAAAGTCATGAAATCAAAGCTTTTGTAAAACGACCCACTACGTGGTAAGGTCTGTTTGTCTTGGTAGTTAAGAAAGAAGGCGGGTGCTAAAAGCAAACTTATTCCTAATAATAAATCTGTCAAAAATCTTGAACTCAACTCCAGCTATTTCTGATTTTTCTTTCTTAAAGAATCAAATGCCAATGTAGACTTTCTTCAAGGAATCTTCGAACATTTAGGGATACCTTCTTGAGCTTCAGCCTGACACTGGACAGTGTAAGTATCTATGAGCCGTGCTTCCAGATCCCTTCCCTTTTCTGCAGGTGTAATAAGTTTTGGGATATGATTTTCCTGAGAGAAAGAAAAAAAGATAAGAAATTCGAATTCTATTTTTAACCTGTCAGAGGTAAAGGAAATGGTCATTTTTAGATGTTCCATTTGGGAATTTACTAGTAATTCAGACAAAACAAGAACTCTATAACAAGAAACATTAAGCTTACGAGGACTAAAAACTGCAATAGATTATACAGCCCAGCTTTTGTATGAACAAACTCTTTAGAAGCAAAATTTTAGTTTTAAAAGATTGCTTGGGTATGCAAACCATAGTTGCATCTTGGAAAATGCTTAACTGAAACAGCAACCAAAGCCCCCTTTGCACAATAACTTGAACTGCTCATTTACATTAACAAGTGAAAATACCCAAAGGAATCAATGATAGATAATGCTATCATTAACTTAGAATCAGCCTTGGAATTACTACACCAGCATCTTGTACAAGAGAGCCCAACATGGGCCTCCAGAAGACCATCAGGAGAGAGTGGTGCAATTTAAAGTGGGGGACATCTGGAGTAGAAAATACATTAATCTTTCTCCTAATTCCCATCTCATCTCCAGGCAATTTAATGTAGCTGGTGTGTATTGTCTGCCCTTCTAGTCTTTTCTCTAAGAGGAATCAGTCAGAAGTTCAGTTTTGCAGAATCATGACTGCTCTGGCAACTGTTGCAGAGAACAATGGGAACCAGTAAGATCCATTTTCTTGTTCTGGACTCGCCTATCCTTTCAGAAAAAATACAAAAATCAGTTGTGCATTATAACCTGTGTTTTCTAATTTTAAAATTTAATAGCAATTTAAGATTAAAATCAAGACAGAGAATATATACTATTTTGATTCACCTTATGAAACAATTCTGTCCACCCCCTCAAAAAATACAAACTATTCAAATAATTAAAACAATAGGCACATGTATGTATATTTTACCTTTAAGTGTTTAAAAATCCCAGCTGCAATTTTTAGGCTTCGATGAACTTCTTTTGCTTCATCTTCTGTTATGCTTAAAGGTAGTAATTACAATAGATAGAGGATAAATTGTTTTGGGTATTAAAACCAACAACTAGTATACACTATCATAAAATCCAATTACCCTATTTTTGCAAATAATGCACACACACATAATACATGCAACACACCTAAGAAAATTTCAAGTGTGGGGGGCTGCCCACTTGACAAAAAGCACACTGAGTATACTATATGCAGAATACTATGGCAGTCATTTATGTTTCTAACCTCTGATTTTCTTCCTTTAGAAAAAAACACATGGAATCCAGGAATAGGAATGGGAATAGCAATACCAGAAGGGTAGGGGGAAGAGGGGAAAGGAAGGGGGAACCGATCATAATGACCGACACATAACCACCTCCACCCCCAAGGGGGAGGAACAACATGGGGGAAGGGGGACAGCAGTCAGTGTGAGTTATGAAAATAATAATAATTTATAATCTATCAAGGGGCCATGAGGGTGGGGGAGGAAGGGTAAAAAGAGGAGCTGATACCAAAGGCTAATTGGAAGTAACTGTCTAGAAAAGGATGGCAACATATGCACAAATATGCCTGATACAATTGATGTATGGATTGTTATAAGAGCTGCAAGAATCCCAATAAAATGATCTCTTAATAAAAAAAGAAAAATCTAATTTTATATGAAACACATTTACATGAAAAATATCCAAAGATGCCATGCCACAAATGAATAGATGACCTTCCTAGAGGTAAACTCTGAATAAATATCTCTTCATTTTTTTCCCTTCTAAACATGTATGCATGCAAAATACATCATGATTTTAATGTAAGCACACACTTATAAAACATACATACTCACCACTCTGCTTTTGCTTTATTTGCTTGACACACTGCAGGGGTCACCTTCATTTGTATAAGGCTGCATGTTATTTCCTTATCTGGATGCACCAATGCTAATTTGCCACTTTCTTATCCCTAAAATGCATTGCTTCTATTATAAAAACTGTATCTCATTTTATTTTTTAATTCTTGGATTCCTTAAAATATTTTCCCAAATACTTTGAAGCCTTCTGTGTTTCTTTTCTCGGTGAACTGCCTTGCTCTTTGCTCCTTTTTAATTGGCTTGTTGGTCCTTTCTCGTCCATTTGTAAAATATTTTATATATTACAAAAGCAAGTAATTTGAAATGTGGGCTGCAATTTTTCGACTAGTGATATATTTAATTGGTTCATTTATGGTGTCTAGGTTTTGGGGTGTGTGTCTAATTTAGAAGGACATTCACCATGACAACGGTATTAAAGCTATGTTTTCTGTCTGCACACTAGGCTCTGTAATTCTGACACTTAAAACAGTAAATTATGAGGCAACTTTCCACTTGTCCAAAGTAGTGCCTTTTATCAATAGCTTAGACTATATAATAATGCAACTCCGTATTTTTGAAAAATAACACATATGCCCATAACCCTCCGCTTGGAACTTACTTTTCTTTTCCAGCCAGTCTTGAAGCATATTTGGTGTACCATAGAGCTACATTAAATCCCATGGAAATTAATTCAAAAACAGCATCCTGCTGGGCACTAAAATTAAAAATATGATAAATTAAGTTCTGCCAATAAGTGAGACCGCTACATGACACCTATCATGCTTGCAACTCAAAATTGCAAACAACTACGTACTAACAGCATCTGAGGCACTTTGGGGGTTTGTGTACAGAAAAGATAGCCTGGTGATTAGGCAAGAGATGAGAGAGACAACAAACATACACACAGATGTATTTAGCAATAAATTGCTATATGCAGCAGTCTAGTATGTGCTTCTGGAAGAAAAAATGTGGCTCTCTACTCCCATAAACATTTACAATCTTGGAAACCCACAAGGGACAGTTCTACCTTGTCTTATAGGGTCGCTAAGAGTCCGAATTGACTGAAGGGCATTGAGTTTGGTTTGGGACTGGAATACATGCTTCATCGTAATAAGCCTGAGAATTCAAACCAAACGAGCTGCTATCAAGTCAATTTCACCTCCTAATAACTTTACAGGACAGAGCAGAACTGCCCCCAAACTGCAGAAAGGTCTTGAACGGTAAGGCAAGCAGTTTTGAAAAAGAAGAAAAATGTTTGAAAATAAACAAGCTTATAACTTTATTTTTCCTCTAAATTCTATTAAGTATGACACAAAAACAATGACAAGAAATGCAAATAATACCAATTTACTACATTTCTTATAAGAACCTGAAAATCCTTTATCGTTGTCTTATTTCCAATGATAAAGGAAGCAAAAATAATGCCCCTAATTTACACACTTAATACTAATATACAGAAAACTATCCAGAGAACAAAGAAACTAATGTGCCCTTTCTCAAAAGGAATGGATTTCTCTTATCTTTTCAACTGAGGTTTTCCTCGGTTTTATTTTGTTAAAAGCCTTAATTTTTTCTCCCCTTTAGTTATGTTTTTCTCTATATGAAATCCAGGACAATCTTTTTTTTTTTCCTTAAGGACAAGTAAATCTATAGACAGTAACTGGATCAGTAGTTTCTTGGGGCTATGGCTGGGGTGGGGTTGACAGTGGTGGTGGATGAGGAGTTTGCATTTTTGTATTTGTACAAAGGTAATTCTAAAGCAGCAATAGACATTTGATCATTTAACAAAGCCAATGGTATAAAAAGGTAATTGAACAGAACACATACTTAATTCATATAAGTCAGTGGTTCTCAACCTTCCTAATGCCGCGACTCTTCAATATAGTTCCTCATGTTGTGGTGATCCCCCAACCAAAGAACTATTTTCGTTGCTACTTCATAACTGTAATTTTGCTACTTTTATGAATTGGGCGACCCTGTGAAAGGGTCGTTTGACCCCCAAAGGGGTTGGAACCCACAGGATGAGAACCGCTGATATAAGTGATAAGCTAGTTCTGGTGGGAAGTTTTTAAAAAGGGCAAAACCAGATATGGGGAAATTTGAAAGAGAATACTGTGTGTCAGCAAAGTACAGGATTGGGGTAGAATTGGAGTGCAGGGGAGAGAAGTCGAGACAGAGACTGGCCAAAGAGGTCTGAGCTCTCCATCAGATAAAGAAAAGCTGCCGAGGGTGTGTGTGTGTGTGTGTGGGGGGGCGGCTGCTGCCAGACCAAAGCCCTGCTCTGCACTGCCAAGTAAGTAAAGACTGAAAGTCAGGCTTGTGGTCCAAATTCCCAAATCATTCTGTGCGAGCTTATGTAATTCTACTATTAAACGTCAAGGCCATCCAACTATGCAGTTCTACTCATTGTTTGAAAGCATTATCTTAAAATCGATTTGATCCAGTACAACCACGGTACATATTACTTAATAGAACGGGTTAGGAGCTCAGATCAAATGTTTTAAGCTAATTTCCTCCTACATGAAAAAGAATTTTTCTTCGTCAAACACAGTGGCTAAATAGTTACAAAAACTGGCTCCAGGGCCAGCCTGGCTAACCTTGGGACTTGTCCTTGTAATGTATCAGTCCATTTGAAATTTTGAATATATCGTAACTTGCTTTCCTGGGTAGATTCATCCAATGAATTTATGAAACCTACAGAAAGATACAAGACATTTTAGCTTTAGACAGAACAACACAAGTTCTATTCAGAAAATTTTTTAGCTAACTTTGCCAGGTGTCTGAATAAGAAAGTCCTAGTTCCTGCCCACCCCTCCATATCGCTTGCCTTCTCCTACTATAATATAATAGGAAATATGTGCACATTAAAAATGTTAAACTTCAGAAAGACCAAGCAATTCATTCAAAAAGTCTAAAAATTTAATGTGAACATGCAACTATTTCTAAAAACCTTAAAAGTTAATATAAATCACCTTGCAAAAGTGAAAAGTATGAATCTACTGCATTCTTCATCATTTCTGGATTACAGCTCAAGTCAGTCAACAGTTCAAGCAAGCGTGTCCTGGATGACCTCAACTCACTTCAATGAGAAAGACAGGAACAGTAAATAAGCTGTACACAGGTGGGAATCAATATACAAACACTTAGGGGTGTCAATGGAAGAGCTTCAAAACATCACACCCACACCCCTCTTGAAGGTATTACCTAATCCACAGACTCGAATGCATGTAAGCCGAACTCTACAGATATGTGAAGTTTCTAAAAACAATTGCTTAAAAAGTTAAAAACTAAAATAAATCCAGTCTGATTAAAGGGCAAACCTTGGTTATAATTAGCTAACGAATGTACCTGGGTTATGAATAAAACAAAACAAGCATTTGAGATTGAGCGGAAATTAAGAACGCATCAGTTAAACAGAACACTTCATTAAATACAGTACTTTTAAAAACAGAAATCTAACATGCTAGTGTACAATTTCAATATTCCCTTCAAACATCAAAATTTGTTTTGCCAAGGTATGATTTAAAACATAAAACTGTATTCTAAAACTTCACACATACTAAGAATATGTAAAACCATGCAGCTAGGAGGTGGTGTCAATGGCCCCTAGTCTCCATTTCCCTTGATTCTCTTGTAATGCTGCTGAGCTTTTTTTGTCCCTCCTCAAGTTTCCTCCCCCGACCCAATTAAACACTAAACCGTCCAGGTTCTTTTACCTTTAAAAGTTCCTTGTGTGCGTTTCCCTATGTTTCCTTCTTATTCTCACCTCCTAAAATGTTCAGTTTTGGGCTTTCTGGTTTTCACTTGAGACCTTATATATTAATGCAATGTCAAACTACATCCATTCTAGATGTACTGCTATAGCATACTCATCTAAGGCCAGACAGAAATTACCAGCAACAACATGAACACTGACAACACACTTGAAATGTGTGTCCCTTGGTTATCTAGAGCGGGTTTAACAGTAACAGCAAAGCGGAGGGCTCTTGACAACAGGCATTTCGTCTCTCATGGTTTAGGAGGCTACACGTCCACACGTAGGGTGCCCAGTTCTAGCAGAAGGGCTTTCTTTCTCTGCTGGCTCTGGGGGGAGATTCCTTTCTCGTTTCTAGAATGATGGGCCTGGTCAGGGTTCCATGTGCCTTGGCCAATCTTTCCTCTAGGTTGGCCAATCTTCCTCTAGGTCTAAGAGGTTCTCAGTGCAGGGACTGTGGGCTCAAAGGACATGCTCCACTCCTGGCTGTTCCTCATGGCACTAAGTGTCGCCCTCTCTGCTCCTTTCTCTCTCCTTTAATGTCTTGTAAGAGAGAAGGTGAGGGACCCCAGGGTTGCAGTGGTTACAAGTTGGACTTCGATCTGCAAGGTTGGCAGTTTGAAACCACCAGCAACTCTGTGGAAGAAATAGGTGGCTTTTTATAGTCCTGGAAACTCATAGGGCTTTTCTCCCCTGTCCTATAGGGTCCCCATGAGTAGGCATTGATTTGATGGCAGTGAGTGAGTGAGTGGAGAAAAAAGGTGAGGCAGACCTCACCCCAAGGACCTCACCTTACATAGGAGCAGGACTGTGACCTAAATAAGGGTGACAACTTAAGTAAAGGTGATGATCCAATACCCCATTAACATAACACACATAATCCAATTCTGCCTCATTGACCACAAGCAGAGGTTAGAATTTAGAGCACATAAAAATATAGAGGCTAACAACCACATACTAAGAACCATGGCCTCGTCTAGTTTTGGCATGTTTCTGGTAGCGGACACAATTGAATCCAGGACAGTGTGTGACTAAAGATTACATTTAAATTGTAAGTACCATGAGACTGTGTACTCAGAATTTAATGTGTTCCCAGGGCAAAGCAAGTACTCAGAAAATTCTTGTTGAGTGAAGAATAAACACTTGATTTAGGAGAACTGTAATACAGTGGTGACATTTAGAAGAGAGCTGACTTAATCATGAATGGAGGCTTATTCCAAGAAAGTACACAACAATTACATACAGCTGACAAAAAATGGGATGGGCTACTTTATGAATGTGCCATTGTTTTGTTAAGTATTTAATTGAAACCGGGAGGAGTGATTCCTGAACCAGACAGAAACTGGACTATCCAGACTCAAATAATCAACTAGTTAATTCCAGTCAGGTGCTCCAACAGCACTCTTAGCCCCCTTTTGTGTAGTTACGTTCATCTCAAATTTATCAGTTTGTAAAAATGTACTTAGAAAGCTTTAATTAATGCTGTTCACTTTGTAGGGAAGTCATTAGTTCTAAAGAAGGGACTTGGCTCAATGCTACAGATAACAGAGCTAGACTGGGACCAGACTATAGTCAAGGCTTGTTTCTGTATGGCCATTGGCCTGTTTTGTACAGCCCTTTTACGCCTTTAAAGGATTATTAAACCAAGAAGACTGTAATAGACACCACATATGGCCTAGAGTCTGAAATAGTCACTATCTTGCTCAGTGCAAAACCAATCGCTGATCTTTGGTTAATTACTAAGCCAGTTTCTCTAACCTTTGCACCAATCACTTCTTTCTTTAAAACAAAGGGAGTAACTCTTGTGCTTTTCCTTTATTAGTTATACCAATGTTTCTCGAACTTCCAGCATGAATACCTTTCAACCTCACAGGGCAGGGGAGTCAAACAGGCTGGCTGATTCAGTCTTTGAAATAATTTCTTTTTTTGGTTGTTGTTCCAGCCAAACACATCTAGTTACTCAACTGTCTTTAAAACGAAGCATTCTGCACAGATATTATTTTCTACTTTCCCCTCTTACAATCAACATCTGGGCACTATAAACAGCCACACAGTAAAACCTTTAGTCTTTGCAGGAAGTAAGGTCTCTATTGGGGCAAATCAAAACTCTGCTACTGGAATGGAAAGCAATCAGAGGCAATCATAGCAAATATGCGAACCAGTGGGAGTGTTTCTGTTTATTTCCATAAAGAGTGAGGGGCCAAGCTATGCGCCATAGCTTGCCAACTCATGATCGAAGTTAGGGGTCCTCAAACTTTTTAAACAGGGGGCCAGTTCACTGTCTCTCAGACCGTTGGAGGGCTGGACTGTAGTTTTTTTTAAAAAAACTATGAACAAATTCCTATGCACACTGCACATATCTTATTGTGAAGTAAAAAAACAAAAGGGGAAAAAACACCGGTGGGCCGGATAAATGTCCTCGGCGGGCCGCATGTGGCCCATAGTTTGAGAACCCCTCATCTACTAAGTCATACAATTTATTTAAACCCCAGTTCTAGATCTTTCTTCCTAAACGGACACTTAAAAGGTTATTTTAGATTGTTGGAACCTCTCCCTGCTTGCAGGGATTGTTGGAACCTCTCCCTACCTGGGTAAATAGCATTAGCCATTAACTATGACGTGGCATATCTCTTGTACTATTGTAATATGATACTTAACTCTTTTATCTTGATTGCTTTAGTTTCTTTGTTGCCCAGCTTACTAATCCCAGAATTAAGGACCTTGGCTACTGAAGTTTAAAGAATTGGTAATTTAACTCATCACATGTCCTTTTATAAGTAGTAATGCAGAGTCTAGAGCAGGAACAATGTACTATTTGGTATTTCTATACTTCCCACTGGATCTCAAAAAAGCATCTTATCGTAAGAGTGATCCAATCACTACACGACTAAAACTTACTTGCAAATTTTTGAAGCAGCGGGGCTAGTAACTACACCATAGTAGTTAAAAGATACCGGAGCTGTAGCTTTCAATGGGTTCCTATGAAACCAATGGGTCATTTTCCCCAAATGTTTTCTATAGGCAAAAAAATAGACAAGTCACAAAAGTTAAGCAGAGAACATTTAATGAACCGTGTAAATAATGTAGAAGTAATTACTTTTAAGATAAAATAAATTGTACAGGATATGTGTACATACAAATGAGTATATGTCTATATTTACCTATACCTAATTAAAATACATCATTGCCACAAGTACTGTATATACTCGAGTATACAAGCCGAGTTTCTCAGCACATTTTTAATGCAGTTTTTGTGATAAAATTAGGTGCCTCCACTGATATTCGCGTCGGCTTATACTTGAGTATAAATAATAAGTCTTGTTTTATTTAAGGTAATCTATATTAAGCTGAAGAAGCCCTAGTGACATAGTGGGCTATGTATTGAGCAGTTCACCGTTAAGATCAGTGGTTCAAACCCACCAGGTGCTCCCTGGAGAAAGTTGAAGCTGTCTGCTCCATGAAGATTTGAAATCCAAAGGGGCAGTTTTACTCCATCCTAGTGGGTAGTCATGAGTCAGAAGTGAATTACAGTTAGAGGAGGAGTCTTGGTGGCACAGTACTGAAGTGCTTGGCTGCTAACTAAAAGGTCAGTGGTTGGATGCCACAAGGTGCTCCGTGGGGAAAAAAATGTGGCAGTCAGCTTCCATAAAGAGCACAACCTTGGAAACTCTGTGTGGCAGTTCTACTCTGACACACTTGAGTCACCATTAGTCAGAATTAACTTAAAGGCAACTAGTTTACATACACTTACATCAGGTACCTAAAAAACCTAGCATTTGAAAAATTTCCCATAGTAATGGTGATGCTAAATATACTAGAACCATAATTTTTAAACTTTAAAGTAGATAAAAATCATTTGAGACTTCTCATTAAAGTGGCGGTTCTAACATCCAGACTCCAGTTCTGAGTGGCGAAGTATTGCATTTTGGTTGGACAGGGGCAAGTAAGAGCACAATATCAGATGAATGCCATTTCCTTCCAAAATGGGTTCAAATCATAATCTTTTTAGATGGTGAAGACTACTTAGCAAGAAATGGCCTTATTTTTGTTTCTGCATTATATTGTTAATGTCAGTTCAAGGGTCATAACCTTTGTTCTATAATAATGCAGTCCCATAAAATAGCTAAAAGAACCAATATTTTCATAATAAAAAGTAACAAAAAAATTAAAAAAGCTATACTTCAATAGCTCCTACCTTAAAATTAAAAAGTCTAAAATCAACTACTAGGTGAAATCCCAACTTAAAGGGAAAATTTAATTACCTATCTTTTTGGTTTAAAAAACAAAAGGCTGTCAGTTGCCTAAAAGTCCCTGGGAGAGTAGTGCAGGTAATACAGGATGGACAAGCTAAACATTAAAGGAAGTAATAAAGAAGAAATCTGATAGTTTACTTAACTTGAAGGAATTATACAAAGTTGTCATTTGACTACTTGTCTTATGATTAAAATAAATGTAGGCTTTATTCAGTGTACAAAATATCATTTACTTATTCATGATAAACTGCTTTGTCACACCATATATTCATAGAACGTGCTCGGTGTTTCAATAAAGAATTGATTCAAACCCTAAACAAGCCCTTTAAAACTAAACAAGCCTTTAAAAAAAAATCACCCGAACATTGTCTATGTAGACCTCCACTGTAACGTAAGTAAACCAACATATCAATCATAGCTTAGAACTCATGCATTTGATTTTACGAAAGCAAAATTTCTATAAATACTGCATATCCACGTCCTGGCCCCAAATGTCTAAAACTTACTGAACGAAAATGCCTAAGGTTTGACTGCAGTAAGGGGAGAAGGGACTGAGTACTGCAGTCTCTGGCCTGGCCTCCTTTCTCCGGTTTTCAAGAATTCGGAGGGTGGGGAGGAAGCAAGGCACACCCAACTGCAGGTGCCAGTTTGACATTCTAATCGAGGCGGCCACCTCACTTCTCCCACCGGATTCGACTAGGGGCCCTTACTGCACACCCCCCTTGATCCCCGAGGAACCTACCTGAGAGCCCACTTCCTGTTTACCATCCAGCCTCTTCCGGTCTGTGCTCCGGTTGGGCGCGAGGCTGCCGGCGGCAATGAGGCGCAGGCGTCCCCTCTAAAAAAGCCCCTTTTTCTAAACAGACCTTTGTGTAGAAAGCCGATCCTATCAACCCGAGAACGCCCGGCAGACAGAGGCCGAACGAGCCCTCCGTGACTAATCAAATCTCTCAAGTACCAGCGGAGATGCAGGGGCAAGGGAATTCGGCGCATCTGGCGCTTAAAAGCCACCTGGACCGTGTGGGCCTTCTGATGTTCGTCTCAAGGCCGTGACAGGGGGCTTTGGGGCTCCGGTCCAGCAGGTCAACCGAGATTGGGGTCACAGGGGCCACTGCTGGGCCTCCTGGGAACGCGCGCGGGGTGAACTGGGTCTGGGAAACGCCCACCTGAGGCCGTACTCACCGGACTTCTCCGAGTCCGTCCCGCAGTCCTTCTCGGGGGAGCCAGGCAGGGTCCGCGCCTGCAGGAGGGAAACAAGGCGAGTCGCGGAACGGGCGCTCCCGAGCGCGAGCGACAGGAAACAAGGGCGGACAGCCCGAGTCACGTGAGCCGGGCAGCCATGACAGTTCCCGATGCGGCGCCGCGCGCCCAGGAGGGGCGGAGGCCGCTGGGTTCTCTCAGCCCCTTCAGGACCCTCCGTTCTCCGGCCCTCCTCTGACTCGCCCCTCGTCGTTTTCCCTCGTGAGCCGCGGCCTGTCGGCAGGGCGGAATACCAGCGCCGGGCGCACCGCCCTAGACAACGAAGCCGCCGCACCAGTGATGGCGGCCGTTGCGCGCGGCGGGGCGGCCTCGGCCTCCCCCGGGGGCGGGGCTTCGGGGCGGGGTTTCCGCGGGGCGGGCCCTGCGGGGCGGCTAAGTTTGGCTGTGGCGGCAAATGGGCTTGGGCGGCTCCTCGGCGGGTGGCGGTGGTGACCGGAGTGGTTCCTCCTGGCCCTGTTAATGTCGGAGCCAGGCCCGGGGAGGATGGCGCCCTGAAGCCCGACCTCGGTGGGGCAGGGGCGGGAGGGGCCGGGGTGGCGACCGGCCATGTCGGAGGTGACCCGGAGTCTGCTGCAGCGCTGGGGCGCCAGTTTTAGGAGAGGCGCCGACTTCGACTCTTGGGGCCAGCTGGTGGAGGCGATAGACGAGTATCAGATGTGAGTGACGAACGGCCGCCTCCCATTTTTCCCTGGGTGGGTGGGTGGGGGTCTCCCATCACTGGGTGTGCAGCCTAGGTTTCTCGGGGTGGGGCCCCGCCGGCACTGGGGCTGAGATCGCCGTAGCCCCGGGGACACGGCTGTCTAGGATACCGCGCCCGTCGCCCAGCTAGCGGGGCCACTTCCATTCAACAGGTAGCGGTTCTTTCCCGGGGCGCCGGCCACCACACGTTCACACCTAGTTCCCTCCCACCAGCTATTGGGTCCCCGACTCTGCAGCCAGTTTCCCTTTCTTCCTCCGTCTCTCTGGTTGCCGCCCCTCAATTTCTCTCTTAAAACCTCTCGGGAATAGTTGTGTGTTCTCCGCCCACGACCCGGGGATGGGAGGCTTTGCCTTGTACGAGTGTCTACATCCTGCCCGTGTGTGGGACCAGGGGGAACGATTGCGATCGGGGGTAGGAGGGGAGGTACCCCAGGAAGCGGCGAGGCCTGGGATGCCGCTCCTGCCAAAAGAAGCGTCTCCTTCGCGCCCCTTGCCACCTCTGTCTAATGAACCGTGTTTTCAGTTCACCTCGGTTTGGTTTCGCTTTCTGCAACTGTTATTTGCTAGGCTGTAAGTCCCATCCACCCCCTCGCAAAGTTGCTTTGGGTGGAGTCCGCGCAGGATGTGAACCGAAGAGAGCAAAATGTGAATTAATAGACAGCGCAGGAGCCACCGGTCCCTCCTCCTTTTCCTGTGTATAATGTATAAGCTGCAGGGTTCTTGTGAGTACCAATTTCCTTACTTAACCTAGTCCCAGTTCTTTCCTTTCTGGTTTCCTGAAAAAGAAAAGGAAAAACAGGGATTGTTGTATATGCTTAAATTCTCCCTTGGTTTCTTGCATTTTACCCTAAATAAGAACCGTACCAAAATGGTATTGTTGGCAAACAGATTGTTTTAAAAAACAAATTGTTGAGGTTTTACTGAGTATGAAATAGGAGTGAGAAAAATCTTTTTTTTTTTTCACTCTGTGTTCTGAAAAGTGGAGACTTGGTCCTTGAAAGGTCTAAATCTTAATCTTCTTTTCACAATAGCTAACTTGTATCCTTCTACTGTTGAATGTTTCGATGTTCTTCACCCAACCCTACTGCTTGTGAAGCCTGTAGTTCCCCACAGCCCAGAAAGCAACTGCTTTGGGCCGTTTTGTTATATATATCAACTCCTAGAATTTGTCTTGCACTTTCATATGATTTTATTTGTTCTTGCAGCCTCTCAGTGAGAATACGATTCTTATTTTACAAAAGGAAGAAAATGAAGCTCAGTTAAAACAGATTACCCCCCGGGTCACAAAACTACACCACATTCCAACATCTTGTCTTCTTTACTACACAGTACTTAAGGGACTTGGTTTTACCTTTGTTGATAGAGTAATTCTCTAAGAGAAGTGGACAGTTAGATGGTTTCCTTTGTTACTAGACCATGGCCTTTCATCCTGTAGCTGGTTAGACACTAAGCGCCTGTATGTTAACTTACAATTGTATACTCAGAACTAGAAAGCTGCCTCTCACTTGTGGCAGGAGGCCTAGCAGCTGTTGGTATTCCACAGCAGGCTCACAATGGCAAGTGAAGAATAGCATGTCCAATTGAATTTACAAAGGAAAATCGAATATGCAAGCTGTTTATATGGAATTGTAGAAATGTAAATGAAGGTAATAGGCACATACAAATCCATTGTTGGATCTCAATACTTACCTTTGAACTTCATGATACAGAACAGTCCCCTAATTACTATAAAACTGCCAGTGTCAAGTTTGAATAGACATTTGTATGAACTAGGGTAAATTTTGTGAACATACAGGCTGTATATAAAATAAGATCAAAGATTTAAAATGAATAGCCTCTTGATTTGAATTGTCTACTTAGGAGGGGGAAAAAAACTAAACCTGATTCCGACACATGATGACCTTATATAGGGTCTTTGAGAATGTAAATCTTCATGGGAGAAAGCTACCTTATCCTTTTGTACTGCCACCTTTGCGGTTAGCAGCCAAATTCCTAAGCCAAGGTGCAATCAAAACGTGAGGCAAATGAAACCATTTGGAGCCACTAGCATGGTAGGTTAGGCGTTGGACTGCAACCCAAAGGTTGGTTGTTCAAATCCACGAACTGCTTCTGGAGAAAGAGGATGCTGTTGGTGCCCATACAGTCCTAGAAACTGTTTAGGGTTGTTATGAGTCAAAAGCAACTAGATGGCAGTTTGGTTTGGTTTGGTTTTATAATGATGAAAAAGAATGCATGCAGTGGTTATATAAGAGCCCAACTGCTAACCAAAAGTTTGGTAGTTCAAACCCACCTAGGCCCTTCTGGGGAGGAAGATGTGGCGGTCTACTTCTATAAATACTCACGGCCTACACTTATCTGTGCTATCATAATGTGATACACAGTACACTGATGCCAAAATGGTCAAAGATTTAAATGAATGTATACATAAACTGAAGGCATGTTAGCCTCTTGTGATGACTCCATAGGAAGGACTGGGGGCTCCAAAGCTTTTAAATAAGATACGGTTTCTGTCCTCAAAGCATTAAGATGCTCATAGAAATGTTTAGTGTGAAATGTGATTAATGCAGTATGAAAATAGCACTGTCATTCCTTCTAAGGCTCCTTGGTGGTACAACAGGTTAAGAACTCCGCTGTTGACCAGAAGGATGGCTATTCAAACCCACCTAGTGGATCTAAAAGGGAAGGGCTTGGAGATCGCTGCAGGAATGATTGTAGCCTTGAAAACTCTGCTAGGGTCTCTGCTTCATTACAGGGGGAGCACTATAACCATTTGCTCCCAACGCACTTAGTTTCCTGAAGCTGCGGGCCACCTTAGGGCTTTCTTGCCCCCCTCCCTGAATTGCTTGCTCCCCTACATCAGATTGTGGTTCAGATGTTAACTTCTAGTGACTCCTTTACTTAAATGTAGAACCTGCTGTCTACCTCTGATCCCTCTGCCTCAGCATTTATTATGCCCAGCTGATTCTCTTTTTCTACAGTACTATCACCATCTAAAATGTATTTTACATACTCCTTTTGCCTGCTGTCGCCTCCACTAAAGTGTAATGTTCCTGAGAGGTGAATATTGGGGGTGGATGGGAAGGGCTGTGTGAGCACTCCACTCTGTACTTGGCATAAAGTAGTATTGAGCTATCAGTAAATATCTGTGAAGGAATGTATTAAGGGGTATGTTGTGGGAACATAAAGGAGTTGATGATAAGTATTGTGGGGACTTGTGAGTTCTGTCAAAATGAAAATTGTTAAAATATACAGATTAATTAAAAATAATGTCATTTAACAAGCAATCCCTTTTCAGCTACTTGGGGATAAATGACTCCCTCATTATGGCTGAGCCATATAAAAATTGTTCTTCAGAATCAGACATTTCACAAGATCATCTTAAAGTATTTACTTAGTATATGGGTACACAATAAATATCTATTAAATGAATGAATGATGAGTTTGAAGATTGAATAATAACTTTCAGAAAGACAGATTTTTTTTTTAGTCATCTTTACCATATTTTATATCAATGTTACTACTCAAAATCTAAGAATACTTGGTGGTGCAGTAGTTATGGTGCTTGACTGCTAATGGAAAGGTCAGCGGTTCAAATAGACCAGCTGCTCTGGGGGAGAAAGATATAGCAGTCTTGTTTCTGTAAAGATTACAACCTTGCCCTTCTTAAAAGTTAGGAAAAAAGATTCCATATGATTCAGCAATTGAATCCCACTGCTAGGTACGTATCCTAGAGAAATAGGAGCTGTAGAATGAATAGCTATATGCATACCCATGTTGATTGCAGCATTGTTCACAGCAGCATAAAGATGGGAACAACCACCGAAATGCCTACAGAAGGTTGAGTGGATCAATAAACTCTGATCAGTCAACACACTGGAATCTCTACAACATGAAAGAACAAGGAACCCTCCAACATGTTCCTGCCTGGGGGACCTGGAGGTCCTTATGCTGAGTGAAATCCGACCGCCACACACATTGCAGGGGACCCCTGTTCTCGGGAGTGAAGAAAAGATATGCAAACAAAAGTAGACATTTTTTGGTGGTTACGAAGTGAGAGAAAGGGAAAGTCACTAACTAACTAGATAGACACGTGTTCTCTTGGGTGAAGGGAAAGGCAGTAAACAATAAGGTCAGCCCAACACTGAGAAGCACAAGTATAAAAGGCTGTTGCACACACGGCCCTGCGCTATCAGTAGTGACAGTGTAAGTGGATGTGAGGGTGGATACCACAAGCTGAACAGGTACAGGGACTAGCAGAGGCTTTGTCTACATAACACAAAGGAGCTGCGACAGGTCTGTAGGAAAATTCCATGTATCTTTGTGAAGCACCTTGTATTTGTATGTGCTGCAAATACAAGAATAAATAAAAAACTATTGCTACAAAATTGTAGAGACTTTTATTAAAAGTGTCAAAATGGGGAGCTATTTCTCAGCATACCCTCCTTCCAGTGTATCTCTAATGCTTCTTGCAGGGTTCCGTGCTTTTTGAGTTACATCACATCGAAGAGAGCTTTGGCATCCGGGAAGGACTCAAATTCTGTTCCTTTAAACTGTTCGAGTTTGGGCTGTAGGGTGGATGGAGTAAGGCTTCCCAATAAAACTCTTATAGGGTATTTCTTGCTACCCTTGAACAATGATGATGGGAAAAATGTCCTTCTTTACACAACTTTCCCAGCTCTCCTCACCAATGCGTTTTCACTTTTCTGAAAACATCGTCTGAATTAGACTCTATGGTTGTCCTGGGTCCTTCAAGAACATCTATCAAGACTACCCCTTTAGTGTTCCCAGACAGTCACCATAGCTTTCCAAGCTAACCTGTCTGCCTTGAATTGAATTACCCCGGCAGATGCCCTTAGAAGCCACTGTTTGTCTTGTATATATATATGGAATATATATATTTTTTCACTTATGTAAGTGAAATTGCTGAGTCTCAGATGACAGTGGTAGTTCAGTGGTA